CACACCAGCACCCCCAGAGGGACCACCCCCAGGGCGACCGGGACGAGCACCCCCAGAGTCAGCGAACGGGGGCTGCGACGGCGGCGGCGGCGGCGGCGGAGGCGACGGCGGCGGCGGCGATGACGACGGCCGCAGCAGCGGTAGTGGCGGTGGAGGAGGGGACTGGGGAGGGGACACCTGGGGAGGGGCGGCCGGCGAGGACTGCACAGGAGGGCCACCAGAGTCAGAAGACTCCTCAACCGGGTCCACAGACGGAAGGGGGGTGACGTGGGACACACCACAGGGGGCGGGACGGGGAGGAGGAGGAGGAGGGGCAGGGACTACCGGGGAAGGGGTGACGAGGAACAGGGGGGGGGTAACCGGGGGACCACGGTGTTGAAAGCGGCGGTAGTAGGAGACGGACTCATCAAAGGTGACGTCACGAGAGTGAAAGAAGCGGTGAGACGGCGGGTGGTAAAAGTGCCAGTCGGACGCGTCAAGGGGAAAACCGAGGAAGACGCAGGGAAGGGTGCGGGCAGTGAGCTTGTCCGTGCCAGAGGCACGGACGTGAGCAAGGCAGCCCCAGACGTGGAACGCAGACGCGTCACCAGGAGACCCAGTCCAAAGACGGGTCGGCGAAACCTGCGGCTGCTGAGGGTGCGGCCACAGGTTAAGCTGGTCAGAAGCGTAGCGCACAGCGAACGGCCACAGAAAATGGGGTGCACCGGCATGGATCATGGAGGTGCGAGCCACCTCCATGACCAAACCGATGCGTCGCTCAGCGACCCCATTCTGCTGTGGGGAGTCCGGTAGGGTGAACGTCTGGGTGATGCCCTCCGCACGACAAAAGCGACCAAGGACACCGGAGGCAAACTCGCCACCACGGTCTGAGTGAAGACGCAAGACAGGGAGACCGCGGTGGACACGCGCAGAGACAAGCCAGGGGATGAGAGCGCCGGGCACGTCGGCCTTGCGCTCCAGGGGAAAGACTGTGGTGTAACGAGTGAAGTCGTCGACAAGCACAAGGAAGTAGCGCTCTCGACGCGGCCCAGGGACGGGGGCGGGGCCCCAAACGTCCAGGTGCAGGGTCTGCAGCGGCGCGGCGGTAGGGGGAAACGAGGAGGAGTGAGGGGCACGGCGAAGCCGATTCTCGACACAAAGCGTGCAAGGTGGGGCTGGAGAGGAGGGAAACGCGGGGAGCGAACCTGGGAGACCAAGGACGAGACCGTGCTGGGACATGTGACGCAGACGCGGGACCGCAGGGTGACCTAGGCGGTGGTGCCACAGGAGGGTCGGGTGAGTGAGGGAGCGACAGGAGCAGGCAGCAGCAACCTGGGTAGACGCAGCCACCTGAGGGGGCGCTCCAGCCGGGGGGGTCACGGTGTCCAGAGTGAACAGGCCGGACACCGGGTCCCGGGGGAACGTGGACAGGGGGGCACCATTGGCGGCCTCGGTACAGACAGCATACCGCTCGTGGCCAGGGAACGTAGTGGTGACGCCAAGGTCCTGGAGGCAGCCGACACCAACTAGGTTCTTGGAGAACGAGGGGATATGCAGACCTGTAAGAGAACCCGAAGGAACCGCCGGACAGGGAAGGGTGGTGGAACTGCGGGCGACTACCGGACCGCCGGAGGGGTCAGCAAGAGAAACGGCAGCAGGAACAGGAAGCGGCGTTAGGGTGGTGGAGTCGCGGAAGAAACACCGAGAGGCGCCAGAGTCCAAGGTGAAGGAAAGCGAAGCCGAGGGGTCTGGCGACGGAACGACGGCGGAAGCACCAAGACTACACAAAGCAGGGGATCCTACGCCTGACGCAGCAGGGGAGGCTAAGCTAGGCACACCTACACTAGGCAACAAGGAGTAATAAGCGGGAAGCACACTAGAGTCATCAGCATACATCACATGCAGAGCGGAAACAATGGCATCCATGTCCATATCAAAAATCTGAATCTGACGACTAAGCAAACTGTGCCAGTCCGGGAGGTCTGGCAACGGGCCGAAGCGCTGACGAAAGAGGTCGTCCAGGCGATGAAAACAGCGGGGAGTGGAGTGACCGATCTTACTGCAAACGAAGCCGCGGCGAGGACCGGTCTGGATCTGGTACTGACAACGCCCGCCGCCAGAGCCACCACGCGGCACACCACCACGCGCCCGGCCACCGCCAGCGCCGGGCCACCCTGGCGGGAGGACACTCGTCTGCCGCGTCTGCGACGGCTGCTGCGGGTGCTGCGAAGGCTGCGACTGCGGCGGCTGCTGCACCTGCAGGGGCGGCGACTCAGCTGAACTGGGCAGGGCCCCCTCGTCCACTCCAGCACCAGGCGACCCGACCCCACCACTACCCCCGCCCGCACCCCCGCCGCCTCCTCCCGCGTCCAGCCTTGGGGCGGCGGCCCTTCCCCGAACGGACCTGCGCTGCAGCAGCAGTCTCAGCCACTGCGGCAGAGCCGTCGGAGAAGGTGCACTGAGCGGGGGCACAGCCCTGAAAGATAGGGACCGGCACGACACCGCTCGCCTGGGCGATGGAGCGGTGACGGGTCTCTATCACAGTCAGGGTGTCTACAAAGTCAGTGAGGGTGAGGTCTGCGGGGTGAACGCTAAGAAAGCGGTCGCGGGCGACAGCAAGGTGGTCAGGGAGGCGGGTGGCAAGCAGGTAGAGGGTAGAGGTAATGGGCGGCTGGTGGGCTCTAAGCTGGGCGTCAGTGCAGGCAGCGCGCCAGGTCTCATCTATCGAGCGCAGGTGGGCAGCGAGGTCAGAGACAGTGGGGAAAGATGCAAGGTCAGGAAAGAGCATCGGAAGGATCAGGCGACCCACCGAGGCAGCCGGAGGGGTGGAATAGCGCTTGATCACAGCATCTAAGTATGCCTGAGCAGTAGTGAGGGACCTAAAGCGAGGACGCTCGGATGGGGGAAGGGCGTTGCTAATGGCAAGCTGGGCAACAGCATCGCGAGAAAGCCAGACAGAGCGCGCACGGGCAGTGGCAGCAGTAGACTCACGCTCAGTGGGTGTGGGGTCAGCGGGCAGAATAGCAGGGGGGTCTGGGCAGGGGAGCGTACCGTCAAGGTGTGCGGAAAGCGGTTCACCATCCTGCCGCTGGCCAGTGAGTTGGCGGCGGAGGTCGGCAAGCCACGCCTCGAACTCTAGGGGCTGACCTTCAGCGTCGAAGCGAAGCTCCGCCGCCATCAGGAACAGTCCAGTGCGGTGCAGGGCAGTGCAGTGCGGTGCAGTGCAATGCAGTGCGGTGCAGTGCGGTGCAGTGCGGTACAGCGCGGTGCAGTGCGGTGCAGTGCGGTACAGTGCGGTGCAGTGCGGTGCAGTGCGGTGTAGTGCGGTGTAGTGCGGTGCCAGGCAATACAGTGTGGTGCGGGGCAGCACGGAGCAGGGCGGGGTGGGGGGGAACCGTACCAGTAAGGAGGATGGGGCCGGGGCTGGCCCGACGGGGCCGGGCGGGCGCGACGGGGCCGGGCTGGTGCGACAGGGCCGGGACGGGGCGACGGGGCCGAGCGGGCGCGACGGGGCCGGGCCGGTGCGACGGGGCCGGGCGAGCGGGACGGTGGCCGGGCGGGTGCGACGGGGCTGGGCGGCTGCGACGGGGCCGGGCAGGGTGCGACGGGGCCGGGCGGGTGCGACGGGGCCGGGCGGCTGCGACGGGGCCAGGCAAGGGCGACGGGGCCAGGCGGCTGAGACGGGGCCGGGCGGGCGCGACGGGGCCAGGCGGCTGCGACGGGGCCGGGCGGGCGCGACGGGGCCGGGCGGGTGCGACGGCGCCGGGCGGGCGCGACGGGGCCGGGCGGCTGCGACGGCGCCGGGCGGGCGCGACGGAGCCGGGCGGCTGCGACGGGGTTGGGCAGGGTGCGACGCGGCCCAGGAGGGGCGCTACGGGGCCCAGGAGGGGCACGACGGGGGGCCCAGGAGAGGCGCTACAGGGGCCCAGGAGGGGCGCAACAGGGCCCAGGAGGGGCGCTACGAAGCCCAAGGGGGGCGCGACGGGGCCCAGGAGGGGCGCTACGGGGCCGAGGAGGGGCGAGACGGGGCCTGGGAGGGGCACGACGGGGCCCAGGAGGGGCGCTACAGGGCCCAGGGAGGGCGCGACGGGGCCCAGTAGGGGCCCTACGGAGCCCAGGAGGGGCGCGACGGGGCCTGGGAGGGGCGCGACGGGGCCCAGGAGGGGCGCGACGGGGCCCAGGAGGGGCGCGACAGAGCCCAGGAGGGGCGCTACGGGGCCTAGGAGGAGTGCGACGGGGCCCAGGAGGGGCGCTAGGGGGCCTGGGAGGAGCGCGACGGGGCCTGGGAGGGGCGCGACGGGGCCTGGGAGGGGCGTTACAGGGCCCAGGAGGGGCGCTACGAAGCCCAGGAGGGGCGCGACGAGGCCCAGGAGGGGCGCTACGGGGCCCAGGAGGGGCGCGACGGGGCGCTACGGGGCCTGGGAGGAGCGCGACGGGGCCCAGGAGGGGCGCTAGGGGGCCTGGGAGGAGCGCGACGGGGCCTGGGAGGGGCGCGACGGGGCCTGGGAGGGGCGTTACAGGGCCCAGGAGGGGCGCTACGAAGCCCAGGAGGGGCGCGACGAGGCCCAGGAGGGGCGCTACGGGGCCCAGGAGGGGCGCGACGGGGCGCTACGGGGCCTGGGAGGAGCGCGACGGGGCCCAGGAGGGGCGCTAGGGGGCATGAGCGGAAGCGGGAGGTGTGGGGGATCCTACATACGCGTGATACCATATCAGAATTAGAATTGAATAATGGTAAAGTGAGAGTACACACAAATATACCTAAGTGTTGTACCCTCTAAGAGGTAACCCTATACAGTCTATACAAACATAACAAATACAGATGTTTGACACAAAGGGTCTGCCCCTAGACGAAACATTTTTTCAAGAGCTCCTCAGGTGTGCTATTCTAGCCTGTGGTTTTAACATATTCTTCTGTCCGTCTTAGCGCTGCGTATGGCACCTGACGCGATTTTCATCATGCTCGCTAATTGCAGCTGAGCGGACCTTGGTAATGAAGGACCAAGTACTGTTTGAAGGCAAGAAAAACGAGCAGGGTGTTATTTAAAATGCAAACCCAGAAAAGCGGGTACTCTAAAAAATGCGCCATATCATAAGCTATCCCCCGCATATGCCACCCATGGGCTGACTATTTCGGCAAGTCTTACCATATACGGGGGATTACGGTATAAGGGTCGTAAGGGTATTTTACCCTGATATCCTGAGGCCTACATTCGGCACAGCATCAGCATCGAACAAGCCTGCGACACATAGACCGCGAAGACCAGCACCACACCCTCGTTTGAACTTTTAATATATGCCCTCCCCAACATTGTCCCATCCCTAGTGTTCCATTTTCTCGTAACCCCGCTCTCCTGAACCCCATCCCCCGTGTCCCTTTCTCACTGCATCCCTAACTTGTCAACATCAATATCCCTCCCTTTCTCAATATGCCTCACTACCCCCCCCCCCGGGTCGTACATTCGTCATTTCGCCTGCCATCCCCATAGTTTCTTTCGTTGCCACGCCCTAATGAAGAGTGTCCCCTTGTCTCCCCTTTGTCTCCCCCTCATCCCCCCCCCTGCCCCCCCTAACCGCTGCCACACCCTGCTGCCCTCTCGCCATTTTTCACACAGCAGAAGTGCCCATCATTCGCCGGCCATCCCGGCCAGACTTTTCTCTCGACTCTCCGCTATTCTCTCGTCACCCTTCCCTGTCTCTCTCGTTGCTCCAGCCCTGCCCCTCCCCGCCTTCTCTCTCAGGTGGAGTTTTCCATGTGTGTGGTCGTTGGCGAGCAGCATATCACGGTGGTCAGCAGAGTCAGCACAAGGCAGACAGCCTAGCTGAAGGGCAGGGGCAGAGGCCAGGCGAGGCATCCACAGGTGCAGGCGAAAGCAGCAGCAGGGGGCACTATTGCGGGCTATGCCCCCTGGCGCGCGCCACGTCTGCCACCTGCTTGGCGAGCACGGAGTTCTGGCGCTCAAGAGCGGCGCACCGCATCTGCAGCGACCGGATGTACACCACGGCGTCGTCCAGCATGGCCGCCGTGTCCGTGCGCGCGTCCGTGCGCGGCATCACGTCCTTGAGCCGCTTCAGCCGCGCCGAGATGCGCTCGCGCCGCATACGCTCCGCCACGCTGCGCGGCTTCGTCGAATGCCTTCCCCGCCCCCTGCCTCCGCCCTGCCCCTTGCCGCCCTCCCCCTCGCCCTCCTCGTCCCCCCCGTCGTCCAGCCCAAACCCATCGCCGCCATACAGCTCGTCCCCCACTCCGCCGCCCTCCATGCCCTCGCCCATGCCCCCCGCCGCGCCACCGCCCTCCTCTCTGTGCGCCCCGCCTGCCTCCCCGTCCCCGTCGTGCCCGTTCGTCCCTGCGCCATCGTGCCTCCCCCCCTCTCCTGCGCCCAGGCTGCTCGACCCCACCTCGTAGCCCTGCTCCCCGCTCGACCCTCGCGAGTGCGACCCCCTGCCTCCCGAATCCGCTGCTCGCACGCCCCCTCCCCCTCCGCCGCGCGCTGCCCCCAGCGGCGGAGGCGCAGCCCCCCCAAGCGGGGTGGTGGGCAGCGAGCGCACTCGCAGCTGCGCCATGTCGCTGGCGAGCGCGGTGGGGCTGGCGCCGATGGCGGACAGAACGCGGCTGCCCCCGGGGCTGCGGTACCCGTCGGATCGGGGGCTCTTCAGCGCGGGGGACAGCGGCCACCGCGCTGCAGCGCCCGTCACGCCCGCTTCCGCCTCGCGCTTGCCCGTGCTGGAGGGGGGGTTGCCGCCAGTAGTGGCGGCGAGGCGAGAGACGCCAGCGGGGCGCGCGTTGGAGAGCGAGCTCGAGAGGTCGGGCAGTCCGCGCCGGGAGCGCAGGCTGGGCTGCGCGCCGTGCGCGGCGGACCCCAGCAGCGGCACGGGGCGCTCGCCCGCCATGGGCTGCGGGCGAGATCGCGCGCTGACTTGCGGCGAAACGGGCGGAAGCGCAGATCGGCCGTCCAGGCTGAGGCTGTGGCTGAGCCCGGCGCGGCCCATGGCGGGCGCCGCAGAGCCGTTGATTCCGCACGTGGTGTGATCGGCCGCAGCGGCCGCACCGGCTGCGGAGAGTAGCTGCGTGGAGTTGTCTGCGGGCGCCTGCGGCGCATGCGGTTCCAGCGGCCAGGTGGCCGTGGAGGTGGCGGCGGGCCCTTCGAGCGCGGCGAGCATGGCGTGCAGCGTGGGCATGTCGAGGCCCGCCGCCAGCAGCTGCTGCAGCAAGTCCCGCGACACGCCCGCCGACGCCACGTCGCCGCCGTCCATGCTCGCCGGGCCGCACCCAGCAGCGCCGCCAAGCTCGTTCGTCGCAGCAGCAGCGACCGGCGGAGCGACGAGCTGCGACGCCTCGCCGAACCAGAGACCTTCGCGAGGCTCAAGCGGCCACGCGGCTTCGCCTGGCAGCTCGGCGAAGTCCATCGGGCCAGCAGCCACCTGTAGGGGGTCGCCGGCGTTCGTGGGTAGGAAAGGAGCGGCGTCGCCAGCATGCCCTAGTGCACGCTGGTCCATCAGAAAAGTGTAAAACCGGGCCTTGTCGGGGCCACCAGACCTTGAAGGCTTTTAACGGGGTTGGGGATGCGTCCTAAACGGTTGTGAACAATCGTAGAATGAGCTTGGCGGGCGGCAACTCTCTAATTAGGACACCTGCTAAATGGTAGGTGAGGGTGGTGAGTAGGTAAATCGGGGAGAAAGGCGGGAAACGGGCTGTCTGAGGGTGATTCCGCAGCGAGTGTTAGACCCGAGGGTTGAGCGGGAAGATCCGAGGCTGGAAAAAAATTGCCTCGGGTCTTGCGAACAAGTGACGGCTACAGCCAGTCAGCTGTCAAGCCGAACAACTAACAAAGTCGTGCAAATGAACTTCCACCAATCATAACTTCGAACATTTCTGGTGGACTCAAAAAGTTCGGCCACTATAGTCGCAACCCTCACCTTGCGACAGTTCGCGACTAAGCAAGCCGCTGCACTGTCAAGAAAATTAAACCCGCAGTTTGGTTGTGACAACCCGCGGCTCCTTCGGTCGTGGGTCGACCTCGGGTCTGACACTAGCTGCAAAATCATCCCTGAGTTCTGCGGCAGGGCTTCAATCCACCAGGAAGAAGAGGAATTATGGAAGCAGTCAAATTAGTTACTGGAGAAAGAATCCATCCGCCCTAGTTCGTCACCGTTTTCCGCTCCAATACAGTTCAAGCTGACAAGGGATGAGGGTTACAATATGTTAACTGACTACAAGGCGGGGGTGTCAAACATATCTTGTATGTTGTTATAGAATACATAGGGTTGTGCCTTAGAGAGTACAACCCAAAGGTTATATTCCCTTGTATGCCATGGTTCTAGTCATTCGTTAAATTCAACATGGTATTGTGAGTAGGTTAGGTCCCCCCCCCCCTCCCCCCCCCTCCCTCACCCCCACCCACCAGCGCTTCCGCCTTAGGTCCTAGCCGCCCCGTTGCCCTCCCGCCCATGCTGGCCCGTCCCCTAGTGGCCCCCGTCACCTAGCGCCTAGCTGGCCCCGTCGCCTAGCCGGCCCCGTCGCCTAGCCAGCCCCGTCACCTAGTCGCCCCCATCGCCCAGCCGGTCCTAGCGCCTAGCCGGCCTCGTCGCCTAGTCGGCCCCGTCACCCAGCCGGCCCTGTTGCCTAGCCGGTCCTGTCCCCTAGCCGGCCCCGTCGCCTGTCCGGCCCCGTCGCCTAACCGGCCCCGTCGCCCAGCCAGCCCCGTTGCCTAGTCAGCCCCGTCGCCCAGCTGGCCCCGTCGCCTAGCCGGCCCCGTCACCTAGCCGGCCCCGTCGCCTAGCCGGCCCCGTCGCCTAGCCGGCCCTGTCGCCTAGCCGGCCCCGTCTATTAAGACTAGAAAGAATATGCTAGCTAGGAGTAGGAGGAGCCATGGAATGGCGTGAGGTTTTAGGCTAGGAAAGTTGAGGAAAGAAAAGAGGATGAGATTAGAAGAGAGAGGGATACAAGGAGGGAGTTGTACCTATTAGGAAGAAAATGATTGAACTAGAATGTGTGTGTACAAGGATATATAGACTAGGGTGTTGTACCCTCTAAGGCACAATCCAGTATAGTCTACAGTAACAACCTAAGTTACATTTGACACACCCCCTAGACTATATAGGGGCAGTGCCTAACAAGGGAAGAAGCAGCTCAGGGCGGCACTACTAGTCCAACCTCTCAGACAAGGGTCTAAAGGCCAGTCAAAAGGAGAACAAACAAGGCAAGAACAAGACCAGGGCGGCACTACTAGTCCAGCCACTGGGAGAAGCCACAAGGCCAGTACAGAGTCAAGGCTCTAGCAAGTGAGAGGCTACAGGAACGAGACCCAGCTGTACACAGTGCCGCTGATGATCTTTAGGCGCAAGCGCCTTCGTAAAGATATTAGCTGTGTTGGCACCGGAGGCCAAGTGTACTACGCGCGCCTGGCGACGCTGGTGCAGCTCACGCATGAGGAAGTACCGCAGCTGAATGTGCTTCGCTCTGCCCTCGAGTCGAGGCTCCTGACACAGGAGGATCATGGCCCTGTTCTCAGCGTACAGGACCGGGGCAGAGCTAGGCCGCTCACCTAAGTCAGTGAGCAAGAAGGTCAGCCAGCGGAGCTCCTGAGCCGCCATGGCACCGGCGTAGATCTCGGCCTCACAGCTGGACTAGGCAACAGACGAGGAGCGGGTAGCTCTCCATGAGACGGCACCTGAACCAAGGCTGAAGCAGTAGCCCTGTGAGGACCTGAGGGTCTCGGCGTCGTCTGCCCAAAAAGCGTCTGTGTGTTCAGTAAGGACCACTGGCCTACGTCCTCCTAGCACTAACCCCATGCCCGATGTACTTGCAAGATAACGCAAAACCCTCTTAGCGGCAGACCAGTGCTGAGGTCGGTGTCTACCTGTAGCCACAAAGCGAGCCAGGATGCTGAGAGGGTATGCGAGATCTGGACGAGTGCAAGTCATCAGGTACATGAGGCAACCCACCAGCTCTGCGTAAGGACCACTGGGCTCTGCTGGCTCCTCTGGAACTGGAGCGGAGAGCATGTGGTCTAGAGGCAGAGGAGTAGACTGTGTGGAGGAGAACTGAAGGCCGAACCTGTGAAGGACCTGGCGCACCAAATGTGACTGAGTCAAAGTGATGGTGCGGGCTGCCCTGTCCCTGGAGATCTGCAAGCCAAGGTAGTGGCGCAGTTCTCCAAGGTCAGTGCAGGTGTGTCTCTTCAGCAGCTCTGCCTTCACGGAGGCCAGTGCGTCCCTATTTGCCCTGGCGAAGACCAGGTCGTCTACGTAAACAAGGATGTATAACGGAGTCTGGCCAGCACGAACGAAGAGCAAGGGGTCTGCAGAGGACGGAAAGAACCGCAGGTCAGCAAGCGTAGCACGTAGCGTGTCGTGCCACTCACGGGGAGCCTGCCGCAGGCCGTAGACGGGGCGCCGGAGGAGCCACTGGGTCCCAAGAGGGAAGGTACCAGTGAAGCCCTGAGGGCGACGCAGGTAGACCTGCTCGTGTAGACTTCCCTGAAGAAACGTAGTGGAGAAGTCGAGGGAGTGAAGCTCGTAGTCACGTTGCGCTGCTACCTGTAGTAGCACCCGAAGAGTGGTCATCTTCGGGGTCGGAGCGAAGGTCTGGAAGAAGTCCACCCCCTCACGCTGACAGAAACCTCTAGCCACGTAGCGCGCCTTGAATACAGGCGGCTCTCCAAGAGGGCGCTTCACCTTGAAGAGCCAGCGGCCATCAACTACGTTCACCCCAGGTGGGGGAACTGCGTCGACGTAGGTGCCGGTGGATCTCCAAGATGCCATCTTCTGCTCCATGGCAGCTATCCACTGAGAGGCCCAGGGTCCCGAGACCGCCTTAGCGTAAGTGCGAGGGGTCGGGATGTCGAAAGCATTGGGGTCACCCTCAGGGACTAGAAGCATGGAACAGAGATGGGGAGCAGTCTCAGCCACAGCAGCAGAACCGTCGGAGAAGGTTAGTGGGCGACGACCAGGGGGCCAGTTAGAGACGGGCGCAACGGCTAGGGGGCCGCCAAAGGGCGAGCGCGACAGCTAGGGGTCCAGCTAGGGGCGGGCGCGAACGGTCAGGGGTCGGCTAGGGACGGGCGCGACGGTCAGGGGGCCGGCTAGGAGCGATCGCGACGGTTAGGGGGCTGGCTAGGAGTGGACGCGACGGCCAGGGAGCCAGCTAGAGACGGGCGCGACGGCCAGGGGGGCGGCTAGGGACGAGCGCGACGGCCAGGGGCCAGCTAGGGACATGCGCGAACGACCAGGGGGGCGGGTAGGGACGAGCGCGAACGGCCAGGGGGCCGGCTAGGGACGGGTGCGAACGGCCGGGAAACCGGCTAGGGACAGGCGCGAACGGCCAGGGGGGCCGGCTAGGGACAAGCGCGACAGCCAGGGGGCCGGCTAGGAACGTAGGGGCGGAAGCGTGAGCGGGCTAGGGGGGGATCTAACCTACTATGATACCATATTAGGAAGAAAATGATTGAACTAGAATGTGTGTGTACAAGGATATATAGACTAGGGTTTTGTACCCTCTAAGGCACAATCTAGTATAGTTTACAGTAACAACCTAAGTTACATTTGACAGTACCCTTTACAGTATGTTCCAGTAAATAGCACAACTACCAAGCCCACAATTATATAAAATATATAATTTAACACCGTCGCCCATCCGATCCCGCTGCCTAGCCGGCCCCGTCGCCTAGTCGGCCCCGTTGCCAAGCCGGCCCCGCCACTCAGCCGGCCCCGTCGCCTAGCCGGCCTCGTCGCCTAGCCGGCCCCGTCACCTAGCCACTTAGCCGGCCCCGTCGTCTAACCAGCCCCGTCACCTAGCCGCCTAGCCGGCCACGTCGCCTAGCCGCCTAGCCGGCCCTGTTGCCTAGCCGGCCCCGTCGCTTAGCCTGGCCGGCCCAAACGCCAAGCTACGATCAATTTGTTGTGATAAAATCGTACTTAAGCATTTCTGTAAGTAGTTGCGATAGATATTGTCGAGTTACACTGTAGCTAGCATCCGTAGAATCACGTCAGCAAATAGCGCTCGTCTGGATGATTACGTCAACATGTCGCTTCAGTCACACAAACAGTTGCGCCCCTTTCAGTATCGATTAGAGCGCATAGCGCAAGTAGTTTTCAACACGTACATTACTGAACAGGTACTTCTAGCAGTTATAAGAGTAGCTTGTACGATTTCAATTATTAACTTGATCTTGAGTAAATTCTGGTTAACACTTACAAGTTCTAAGACTTCCGCTGTCTTACTAGTCTACCATTCCAGCAAAGATCCTTGTTCAAGTCTTGAAGTATCACAAGGCTGTAACACTGACTTTGGTGTTACAACTTGTTAATATTGGTTATTACTGGAGGTACTTCCATCATTACTTTCCATTTCAAGTACTTGTGTCTGCAGATTCTACACTTAGTCTCCTGCACCTTTTTTCATTCTCTTACATGGTATGAGAGCTGTCTGGAATTAAGCCTACCGTCAACTCTACAAATGACTGGACCATCATCAGCTCCAACATCTGGTTCTTCAACAATTGGACCCAAGGGTATTACAAATCCTACAGTTTTCACAAGCCAAGCAGGTGATTCCGCAGCTGGAAAATTTCCACCTGCATATTCTTCAATCGGGATGCCTCAACAGCAGCAAGGTTTGCCTACTGTGCATCCATCGGGGACTTCGTCCTCAGCACCTGCAACATCACAACAATAAGCAGCAGCATCAGTGACAGCGGCCTTTAGTGGTATGAGTATTCATGGTTCCAGCTATGTGTGAGAGTACGACCCCATTACACCACTTGTCCCTTTTCCTACTTCCTTCCTATTTTCATTTCTCTATTTATCTCATCTCATTTGGTTTCCTATTCTCCATTTTCCATTATCCTTTGGTTTATCCTGCTATTATAATTATATCACCGACCAGGATTGGGATGTACTGGCGCGCTATATCTAGCGTAATCCTGCTGTAATCCCTTAAAGCCAATAGCCTCGCGTGGCTATACGCAGGATGATTCTATTTTCTAGAAGGGTCTATTCCCTTAGGATAAGATAAACCTGGTTACCTGATGTACTCTGAAAGTATAAAAGCGCCCTGTACTGATCGATAGTGCAATCTTTCCTTGAGTCATTCGATCCTGTAACACTTGGTAATCAGAGCTTTTCTCACTCGGCCGCGATCAAGAAAGCAGCAGCAGCGGGAAAACCTGCCTCGCAAAACCGCCGGGGGCGACCAATTCGACGCCGATTCTGGTAAGCACCAACTTCGCGTTTTTTCGAATCACCCCCCCCGCCCGTGTTTTGAACAGGATGGCAACCTTCGACAACGCCGAGGTTACCCAGCAGCCGCATCGCAGCCCTTCAGGAGGAGATGCGAGCGGATCGCGAAGCGTGGCGAAACGAGTTCGAACGAGTAAATGGACTCGCCGGAGCACAGCACGACTCGACAACGGCAACGACGCAGCAGTCGCAGCAGTTTCTCGAGGCTCCGAAACCGCGCCCACCTGAGCTGTTTGATCCGAGCGATCGAAACTCCGACGCACGCAGATGGATCGCCGGGATGGAGATCTACTTCGCAGCCGTCCGATGGAGCTCGCCAGTCTGGGACGGTCAACGTGTACGACTCACGGCGACGCTGATGCGAGGGCCGGCACTCGAGTGGATCGGTGGTAACAGCACGCTCATCCACGGTGAAGCCACGTGGCAGCAGTTCCACACCGACCTGCTGAAACGATTCGAGCCGATAAATTCGGGGTTCCTTGCCCGGGAAAAAATTCATCGACATCGACAGTTCGGGAGTGTAGCACAGTACACGCAGCAGACGGAGGAATTTTACAACCGCATTCCCGACCTGACCGAAGGGTAAAAAGTGCAGTCTTACCTCGCCGGGCTGAAGACCGAAGTCAAACGACAAGCGGTTGTGACGTCGTATCGGCCGCGGAATGCTTTGACATGGTCAACGCCGGGACACGACGGACGCACGTCGGCAGTACGCGACAGGGCGACCGCTTGGCTCACCCCACGTTCGCCGACCCGATGGAAGTCGACAGTTTCAAAGGGCGGCCACGTCCGAAAAACACCAAGTATACGTGTGATTTTTGCGGGGTGCCGGGTCATCGAATCTTCGACTGCAACAAAATGAAAGCCGCACGCGCAGAGTATTGGGCATGAAAAAGTGGCGGAATTCCTTCGGCCAATCAGAAGACAAAAAACAGGAGTCGCCAGTGATTGCGGATCTAGCTGGCGAAAATAAAAAAATCCGGAAGCGGCCGCGGGATTCCGGGAAAATCAACTTCGACGAAGCTGATTCGACGCGAGAAGGAATAAATGACGGGGGAAAATCTCCACCCCACGACAAGTCTTTGCCAGAGGAATTCATCGAGGAAAAATCAAACTCCGCGAAAAAGGACTCTGCCAAGACGAGAAACTCCTCGAAGACCCAAGAAATTATAAGGATTCGTTAAAGTTATCTTATAAAGATGCTTTAATGAAAACTTGTAATTCTCGAGGATCTAGAGCCTTGGAGAAATTTCGGGAGGGACTCCAAAAGAAGCAGAAAGCTATGGAGATCATACGGGTACCAGACAACTTGGGGAAAAAATTAAGGAGTGTGGAAAGAAGCCGACCTTTCCACAGAGTCAACGTCCTCTCCCGACACCAGCCCACAACGACTACCCGTTCCCCAGGGAAGACGTCGGTGGAGCTGAAGCAGCTCAAGAGGAAGCTGGGGGTCTACAAGAAGCTGCACAAACCCCGAACTCCTCCTCTGGATGCATCCAGTTCTTCGGCATCAATGACGCACACAGTCGTCAAGGAAACTCCGGCCCTGGAGAAGAGCCATTCTCCAAGCAGCCTCGGCCAGCTGCCAGCTTAGGAGTAGATAGCAACACAAAGGTGTGTACGGAATATTGGGATATACCCTATGACCCAATCAATGAAACCATCTTTGGGTACTCCGAGCAATGCCTGCCCCTCGTGCTCGAGGTCATCTGCAAAGGACGACGCCTTCAAGCACTCGTGGACAGCGGAGCATCGCACACCGTATGCGACAAGGCAGTAATCGACCGACTACGGGAAGAGTACAAGCCTTAAGGATTATCTGCTACGATGGTGGACGGCAGCAAGTTACCAGTACACGGCGAAGCAGTGTTACACCTACAAATTGGACCACTTCGCTGGAGACCTGCACTCCCCATCACCAACATCAAAGGGCTGGACTTGATCTTCGGGCGAGACTTCCTAAAAAGATTCAACCCCAAGATCAGCTGGGTGAACCGCACCGCAAGCGTCTACAACAATGGACGGAGAGTACAGCTACCCAACTGGGATGGTACAGGAGATATCCCAGTGGAGACACTCGCACAATTCGAGAAGGACATGAAGCGAACCGACACTGGGTTCTTAGCCATAGCAACAGAGGTGGAGAATGACGAGGAGAAGACCTCGGAGCCTCCGGGAAAGATCAAGGAATGATTGAAGGAGTTCCAAGACATTCTTCCTGACGATCTTCCGAACGAGCTACCGCCATACCGAACGCATCAACACGAGATTGTGGAGGAACCGGGTTCGAAGCCAACTTTCCGAGCACCATATCAGTTCAGCCCTACGGAACTGACTGACATGAAAAAACAGATCGAGTATCTCCTAGCCAAACAACTCATCCGGCCATCCACTTCGCCATACGGTGCCCCAGTACTCTTCACACCGAAACCGGACGGAATACCTGCGCATGTGCATCGACTACCGAGATCTCAACAAGCAGACCATCAAGAATAAATGTCCGATACCACGAATCGATGACCTGCTTGACCAGCTTCGGGGAGCTACGGTATTTTCCAAACTGGATCTACGGTCCGGATACTGGCAGGTACGAATGGCGGACAACTCCATCCACAAAACTGCTGGCCGAACTCGGTACGGATCGTACGAGTGTTTGGTCATGCCGTTCGGACTCACCAACGCACCAGCAACATTCCAAGCCAAGATGAACCACATCCTATGCCCACTTTTGGACAAATGCATGGTGGTGTACCTGGACGACATCCTCATCTACTCGTGCGACATGAAGCAGCATGTCGAACACCTGCGATGCGTCTTCGAAATTCTTCGACGAGAACGATTCTACGTCAAACTGTCCAAGAGCGAATTCGCCCTTGAGAAGGTCCAGTTCCTAGGACACGTGGTGAGCGCTCAAGGAGTTCATGTCGACCCCAAGAAAATCGAAGCCGTACGTACATGGAAGACACCCGAGAACGTGAAAGAGTTGCAGCAGTTCCTAGGCTTCGCTAATTACTACAACATGTTCGTGCCACAGTATGCGAAACTTGCAGCACCACTCACGAATCTGCTGAAGAAGAACACGCCCTACAAATGGGAGCCGAAGCACCTGGAAGCCGTGGAGCACCTGAAACATGCACTCACGTCCGCACCAATACTCATCTTGCCAGATCCCGAACGCGATTACGTAATCGAAGCTGACGCCAGCGACCAAGCAGTGGGAGCAGTCTTGATGCAAGACCAGGGGAATGGACTGCAACCAATCGCCTACCTCAGAAAGAAACTGCACGGGGCAGAACTAAACTATCCGATACACGACAAAGAGGCCCTTGCCATCGTCACCGCCTTCAAAGTGTGATGTTATCTCGAAGGATGAAGGACAACCGTCTACACCGACCACTGCAGCATGAAATAATTGAAGACACAACCCAACCTTTCCAGGAGATAGGTCCGGTGGATCGACTTCCTTGAGACACACTTCCACTACGACATCGTGTACAAGCCTGGCCACAAAAACAAAGCAGATGCCCTCAGCCGGCTTGCACACGTTGCCGCCATTCAGGTCGAAGGGATGAACCCACTACTCTAGGGACTCTTCACACACGGGTACGCCACCGACCCCGAAATTCCCTTGGCAGAAAAGCGACATCTGCTACAGTGGGAAAAGACATCACGTACCGGAAAGGATCAACGAAAATCTGGGTACCCAATTACCCTCCTTTGCGCCAGTTACTACTCAAAGAATACCATGACGTCCTATACGCTGGACACTTTGGTAGCAACAAGACGCTGACCGGTATTGCGAAGCACTACTACTGGCCCCACTTGGCAGAAGATGTTCAGAAATTTGTCACCTCGTGTGATAGATGTCATCGGATGAAGAGCAGCAAGTAGAAGAAGGCGGGACTACTGCAGCCTCTTCCTGTCCCAGAACAACCATGGCAAGTTGTTAGCTTGGATTTCATCACCGGGTTACCACCTACCACCAGCGGTCATGACGCAATCCTTGTCGTCATCGACAAGTTCTCCAAAATGGGACACTTCATCCCGACACACACGACAGCACGCACTGAAGAGACAGCACAAGTCTTCGTGCAATACATCATCTCACAGCATGGCATTCCAACCACACTTATCTCCGACCGAGACCCTAAGTTCACCAGCAAGTTCTGGAAGGAACTTATGTCTCTACTCGGGACCAAACTCGCCATGTCATCTGCTTACCATCCGCAGACAGACGGACAGACCGAGCGCCTCAACCAGATTGTTGAGCAACTCCTCCGAGCAGCCTGCAAGGACGAGATCTCCAAATGGGACCTGCACGTTCTAGAGTTTGCTTACAACAATGCTACACATGCCCCTACTGGACAGACTTCGTTCTTCCTCTGTTACTGACGCCACCCACTCACACCACAGAAACCGACAACATCCGCTAGAGTCCAACCTGCACATGATTTCATCACAACCATGCATCAGCTTTGGGATCGGACCCACAAGCGCCTCCTCGACATTCAGCAGCAACAGATTCGCCAGGCCGATCGCCATCGCAATGACCACACCAAAACCGTGGGAGACTAGGTGCTCCTTGACACCCGCAATCTTGACATCAGCCATCTCCCATCAAAACTGCGACCTTGCTTCTGCGGGCCTTTCCTCGTTGAAGTACAGGTCACTCCTGTTACCTTCCGCTTACGCCTGCCAGCTACCTGGAAGATTCATAACGCCTTCCATGTCCAACTTCTGAAGCCCTATCGGGATCCGAACACGATCTTTGTCGGACGCCAACCGCCGCCGCCGCCGCCCATCCTCGTCCAGAATGAACCCGAGTATGAGGTCGAGTCCGTGCTTGCACACCGCCGTCGTCGGAATGGCATCGTGGAGCTTCTTATCCGTTGGAAGGGTTATGATCCTTCTGAAGACAGCTGGGTACCTGAGACCGACATGGGTAACGCCCGTCGTCCTCTGCATGACTACCTTGTCAAGCAGGGTGTTACTTCTACCACCCAGCTTTGAGGGGGGGAAGTGTGAGAGTACGACCCAGTTACACCACTTGTCCCTTTTCCTACTTCCTTCCTATTTTCATTTCTCTATTTATCTCATCTCATTTGGTTTCCTATTCTCCATTTTCCATTGTCCTTTGGTTTATCCTGCTATTATAATTATATCACCGACCAGGATTGGGATGTACTGGCGCGCTATATCTAGCGTAATCATGCCGTAATCCCTTAAAGCCAATAGCCTCGCGTGGCTATACGCAGGGTGATTCTATTTTCTAGAAGGGTCTATTCCCTTGGGATAAGATAAAACTGGTTACCTGATGTACTCTGGAAGTATAAAAGTGCCTTGTACTGATCGATAGTGCAATCTTTCCTCGAGTCATTCGATCTTGTGACACTATGCAAGCGCTACAGCCGCTCCAAACTCCAGTTCTTCGTTTGCATTTACAGCTCAACATCAACAGTTTCAATCTCTTCAGCAACAGCAACAAGCACAACAACAGTTTCAGCAACAACTGCAAAATCAACAGCAACAACAGTTTCCGGAGCAGCAGATTTCTTTTACTGGACCTGTTTTTCAGGGTCCAAATCTTTTAAGCAATACGCAGATCAAGACAACAATAACTTTTAATGGCGCAGACTTCTACTCATGGAGTTTCGAGTTCGAGCTGCTCACAAAATCCGCCGGATTATGGCCGTTCTTCAGTGGCGATTAATCGTATTTTGTTACGGGAACACAAATGGAGCAGCAAAGTTTTCTTCATGCTTCACTCAGCGCTTATACAGTTCGTATTCATAATCTGTCGCTGAAAGAGCAGCTCAGTATACGCTCCCTTCACACGAGCTTGACTCTAGCCGAATCTGCATGGAAACATTTGAAGGGACTCCATATGGCACAGGACACCATTTCTGTGAGTAAGATTCTCTCACAACTGACAACTGTACATATGCAGGACAATGAGAAAGTTTCGAAATATATCAACAGGGCTCGTACACTTCGTGACCAACTGGAAAAATGCGGCGGATTCTTCCCAAAGGACATGTTTGTAACAGTTCTTCTTGCCGGTCTTGGAGAAGAATGGCGGCAGTGTCAGTCTCTTCTTCGCATTCAACCAAATCTTTCCGAAGCCGAAATTGTTCGATTATTCAAGCAGAGCAGCAGGACCTTGACCTGCAAACAACACGTAATAAAAAGGGAGCAGTTAATATCAATTTCTATTTAACGCCTGCAAAATGCATCAACAAGTTCTTCTGTCACTACTGCCAAAAGGATGGACACAGCATCAAATATTGCAACAAGCTTCAAGCTGATGAGAAACGAGGAGCGCAGCTATGAGAGTACGATCCCGCTCCATTCCTTTCTCCTTTTTATCTTCCCTTTCCATTTCATTCCTCTTTTTATCCTACTTCATTTGGTCTTTATCTCATTCCATTTGGATTCCTCATCCTCCTTTTCCATAAACCTTTGGTTTATTCTTATAGTTATATCACCGACCAGGCTCGGGATGTACTGGTACGCTATATCTAGCGGAATCCTGCTATAATCCCTTAAAGCCAATAGCCTCGCGTGGCTATACGCAGGGTGATTCTATTTTCTAGAAGGGTCTATTCTTTTAGGATAAGATAGACCTGGTTACCTGATGTACTTTGGAAGTATGAAAGCGCCTTGTATCAATCGATAGTGCGACCTTGCCTTGACACATTCGATCCTGTGATAGCAGCAGTAGTTGCAGCAGTTCAAGCAACCCGTGAAGCAGAATCCACCGACAACAACTCATGCCACATCCGAAAAACAATTCTTCAGTTGTTTTACAACAATTCATGCATCCGATTCAGATTTCGACGACGAGCAGGAACAGAGTTCCATTGAACAACATGAGAACATGGTCTTACCTCAGGTTTATGCTAATCTCGCTCGGATTATTGCACGACCCAACACTTGGTATCTCGACAGGTGTTGTGGTCAACACATGTGCTCTGGCAAGTCGCTTTTCATCACTCATCAGCGTCCTCTTCGACCTCCAGTACCTGTCATAGTTGCAAACGGACAAACGATCATGGCACGATCCATTGGCAGTGTTATGTTGGATTCAGTTGACACTGGTTTTTCCTTACATGTTACAAACGTCCTCATCATCGCTGGACTTGGTTTCAATCTTCTTTCAACGGCTCAACTCCTGCGACATACAGTAAAATCAGGATACAAGGCAATTGTGAGACTATGGACCATGAACTTTATCACAACGATACAAATACTTACATCGGGAGAGCTACCACTCAATATGGCGTCTCCGTTCTTCAATTTGAAGCACAAGGCACTTCTGGAGATTCTGAAAGAGTGTGATCTCTTGGACCTTGGCAACATCCTGAAGAGACTGATGATCAAAGGTTGAAATAGACTTCCGTGCAACTGCAGTTCCAACGAGATATCATACAGCCGCTGCAGTTATAACGGCTCTTGATTCCTGGCCAACCAACACAGCTGAAGAAGATACATCAGCGTGGAGGAACAAATATGACACTCTAACACAACTCAACAACAAACCTGAAATACCTTGGGGGCCCAGCAGCAGCAGCAGTGAAGTAGAAGAAGCCGAGCAGCAGAGTAGCAGTGAAGTAAAAACAGGGGTTTCTAGTGGGGGGGGGGAGGGGGGAGGGGGAGGGGGAGGGGGAGGGTTGTCTCTAGCATTGAGGACTTTGCCAATTTTTTAGAGCATCTAGGGGGTTTTGGAGGACTATCTCAAGCATTCAGGACTTAGCTGGATTTTTAGAGTAGCGGGAGGTTTTAAAGGGTTGTCGCTAACATTGAGGAATTGGTTTTGGGCGGAAAGAAACAAGGGGTACCAAAGTGGCACACGTGCATTTGCAAGATATGAGGAATCAGGGTTATCTCCGAAGGCACACTGGCAGCTCAAGGCCGGTAAATGGACAGTTAACAGAATCCTTAGGGTTTCACTATGATTCAAAACTGAATTCACAAGGTGAAAAATGACCTTAGATGGATGTTTTAGGATTGGCATCTAATTGGCATCTTGAAAATTAGGAATTCATTATAAAACATCCTGGTATCTGAGGCCTTGTCATGATTGCATCTTCTATGGGTCGTTTTGCCTATGGAAATTGTTATTTGGTGGATTGTTGTGTGTTGTGTTGGTAACACAATGTGTATATAAAGGTTCTCGATGTTAGAATAACCAAGTGAGCTCCAGCAAGAGCATACAAGTTGATATAAGGGTGTGGATTGTACTCTCTAAGAGCACAAACCTATCTAGCCTATAACTATACATGCACAGCAAAAGTATAAATTGACACCCCCCTAGGCCAGACAAGAGGCAATGCCTAGCAAGAGACATGCAGCTAAGGGTGGCACTACTAGTCCAACCTCTAAGACAGGGGTCCGAAGACCAGTAAGCAAGAGTACAAACTAAACAAGAGTAACTCAGGGTGGCACGAGTAGTCCTGCCAGTGAGAGAAGAGCCACAAGGCCAGTCAAGACAGTATGAGTAGTACACAAGTCAAGGTCCTAGCAAGTGAGGAGCTACTAGAACTAGACCAAGATGTAAATAGTGTCGCTGATGATCTTTAGGCGCAAGCGCCTTGGTAAAGATATCAGTTGTGTTGGCTCCGGAGGCTAAGTGTACTATGCGTACCTGGCTGCGCTGTTGTAGCTCACTCAGGAGGAAGTACCGCAGCCGGATCTGCTTTGCTCTGCCCTCTAGTCAAGGCTCCTGACACAGGAGGATCATGGCCCTATTGTCAGCGTACAGGACTGGGGCAGAGCTAGGCCGCTCACCAAACTCAGTGAGCAGGAACGTCAACCAGCGGAGCTCCTATGCCGCCATGGCACCAGCATAGATCTTAGCCTCACAGCTGGACTGTGCAACAGATGACAAGCGGGTGGACCTCCAGGAAATAGCGCCTGCACCAAGGTTAAAGCAGAAGCTCTGGGAGGACCCGAGCGTCTCAGCATTGTCCGCCCATGAAGCGTCTATGTGCCTTGTGAGGACCAATGGACTGCGTCCTCCCAGCACTAGCCCCATGCCAAATGTACTTGCTAGATATCGCAACACCCTCGTGGCGGCTGACCACTGCTGAGGTCAGTGCCTGCCTATCGTAACGAAGCGTGCAAGGATACTAAGAGGGTATATGAGATCTGAGTGCAATTCATCAGGTACATGAGGCAGCCCACAAGCTATGCATACTGACCACTAGGCTCGACCGGCTCATCAAGGACTGGAGTCGAGAGCCTGTAATCCACTAGCAGAGGGGTGGGCTGTGCGGAGGAGATTTGAAGACCGAACCTCTGAAGAACCTGACGCACCAAGTGTGACTGTGTGAGAGTGATGGGGCACGCTGCCTTGTCCTTGGAGATCTGCAGCCCGAGGTAGTGGCACAGCTCTCCTAGGTCAGTGTAGGTGTGT